TCCCTCGGTCATAGTTAACTGCGGGTGACAATCCCAACCACCCCCTCCCCCGAATCCCCCCAAACAGTCTAATTTTTCACACTTGAGTCCAAACTTGCTTAACCCTGAATCCCGAATACTACTTAACACAAATATAAAAGGCATATGTCAGAATTCACTCTACAAAGACAGATCAAAAACCCTTGAAACACGTTTCTGTGTCATAAAATGATACGATTTGAAGTTAAATTACTGAGTAAAGATCGAAAAAATAAATTATATGATTTTTCGTACATCATTTTTAAAAATAATTGTTGAATCTGCGATTGTATTTGATTCCCGCGTACCACACTGCTGAGTCCTGAATACCCTCTAAATAGCCCCCCCCCCCAAAATAAAAAAAACAACAACACCAAAACAAAACAAAACAAACACCCCCCCAAACAACAACCAAAAAACAAAAACAAAAACGCTTACCAAAATGGTTGACAGCTTCTAAACTGTTAGTTGTAACCCGTATGGAGTAAGACTTGTCTATCTTCTATCATGCTTTATATCCCCAATTCTGTTCAAATGATCTTTCTGATCCTTCAAAGATCGCACATATTATAGAGCTATCGCCTGACATATTATCAATGTGCTAGTATATATAATATATGGTTAGCTTGTTATAAATGGCTGTACAGCAGGGAACAATATGCTTAATGGATATATAAATATTCGTGATGAGTTCTATTTTTTCGTAGAGTTACTAGATATATTTATAGGTTCTGATTATTACCACCATCGATTACCACCCTAACTTGCGAAATAAGATTCAAAGACGAATACCCAAAGAAACTGACGTTTTTGTCACATCTATTTATCTGGAGGATACCAATTCAAAATGTATATCAACAAACTATTTATTCTTCATAATTTCACGTTTGTTGGGATTTCTTTTTCCCCAAACATATTGGACACACTTGTCTCCAAACTGAAAACAACCCTTCAATGACAGGGGTCGTTCACCTTTAAGAAGCTTTGAAATTCACTTTGATGTTGAAATTTGAAATACAGTTGTAAATAGGAATTGTAACATAAATCATAGGCTGAAATGAAAGAAATAATAATAAACAATAGAAGAGACAAAACCATATCCACAATCATAAAAACATCTCCACTAAATCTCTACTAAGATATAACGTCAGCGCTAGAGGATAATAAGTAAGCAATGACCATTGCTATCTGTGGTCAATATGTAAAACATATTTTATACGATCCACTTTACAAATAGTGCCAAGGCATGTTACTAGTCAGCACATCTTAAGTAAAGCTAAATGTCATATCTTTAGCCACCAAGTATGGAGAATACCGCTGTTGTTTGGCTGACTGATATCGATGTCGCGTGCCTTAACAGACAGGCCACAAATATTGTAGTGACCTTAAATGAACATGGTTGTGATGAAAACATGCATCTAACATAAACCATCATTCGGGAGAAGTTTTGAAGAAATCTGTGAGATATCTTATGTTTAAAAATAGCAAAGGTAAGTGCAGGTGACGGTGCATAACATAAACATGTATATCCCCTGGAGAAAAGGTGAGGTGAAATGAGTTTTAACGGCGCGTCCAAGATTATTGCACTTATGTAGCGACGTGCATGTACGTGTGTGTGTGTGTGTGTGGGGGGGGGGGGGGGGGGGGGGGCTTCCTGGTAGACGCTCTATCCACTACACCACGGAGGCGGTGTATTTCCTGTATTTATGATAAAATTGGATACAAGTTATCGTATTCTAGAACGCCCATAGATTTACATGTAAGCTTATTTACAATTAATACACTACATAGGACAGAAAGGAAACAAAGAAAAAACACATATGTACATGAACATTGCTCACTCAAACCTGTTTGTTTTCTTTATATAAGTGTGTATATTCCTAAAAATGTTTTCATTCACAAGCTTAGGTAGAGCTGCACTGGCAACTAACATCAAGTCCATATTTACATCACAAGTATCTTTCACAATTAACAATAGTGCGTACATCAATTCGTTTCTATTTAATTTAAAAAAAGAGACATTCAATGAAAAGAAATTCACTTTGGTTGCCACATCGGCAGTATAGATCCTTGTTTGAACCCTTTCTAAATTAATCATGTTTAATTCACTCTCACCATGTCTTAATTTTGTATGTATAATTACCATATGAGGAATAAAGTGGAACTGGTTGATTTATCTGTTCAAACTGGATTTAAAACGAAATTTAATAAAAGATGGTATAAACGAGGATTCAGAAATCTGAGTACATAATATAGGCAGGGTTGTATATTATGAGTAGTTCTAAGGTTTGTCCCGACAGCATAGGGTACCAGATCATTAAAGTTTGTTTGTTTGTTGTTTAACGCTGCACACCGTAATATTCCAGCAAAATGACGGCATCATATTTTGTTATATATTTTATAAAATATACACAATTTTTCTCCTACGCTCTGATAAGGGCTCCCTAAAATTTTCCAAAAATATTTTAACAGAGGTGTAGCTAGGTCAACCAGTTACATTTCTTGCTGCTTCTAGTTGAAGCTTTTCTAATCTGTCCCTCTGCTCTCTGGTATAACCGTCCCAAACTTCCCACGCATATTCAATATTGAGCACAAACGAAGCTATTTAGTTTAATAAATGAGTCATTATGACACGACCATTTGCACTATGACGACAATATATCACCAAGGTGTTTGTGTGTTATAAGATTTTCAATGTTTTCATAATCCCCAATTTTTTTTAGAGTTCGATGCATCCTTTTTGTGAAAATAAAAATCTGGGCTTATACAGTATAAGCCAGTCTTGAGACCATTTGTTTATTTTGTTTAAATTGCTATTTATATTAGTTTCTCTTGAACCGCTGCTGGTACATACTGGGTATGTCCTGCCGTACTGTCCAACAGTATGTAGCGAATCCAAGCACATGTCAACATCGCTACCAATGAATGAATGTGCTTTTTACTTCATTACATTACAATTGTGAAGAATCCATACAACATTCTAATCATGTATACTGTCTAGAAACAAGGTCAGCCCTGGATGGGGGACTGCATATATTAGTATTGATAACATGTTTGGTCTGAATGTATATATAAGTGTCATACGAATCTTGCTCAACATTCCAGGGCACAAGGTTTAATAGTAGACATTTCCAAATTTGACACATCAGTGACAAAAATGCATTTCCCTATCTTGACTTGTACCACATGTTCCCGTGTTTTTTTCCAGGTGAACAATTGCTGTGCCTTTGCTATCGGTTGGGCAGGATACGCCTCACCTTTTTGTGAACATCTGGTATCATCGCTATTTGATAGTGATTCATAAACACATGCTTCCGATAAAGTCGGAATCGTACAGAGATAGAGATCTTGGGTCGAACTTGTTCTCGTTCTCTGTTTGGGGTTCCACCTTTAGCTGCTGCTGCTAATTCCGCCACCACTCAACTATCTTTAACTTTGAAAAATTGAAACGTAGACACATCGTTTGTCTGAAGGGCCAAGAGTGTTCTGTAGATTATAGTGCATGAAACATTCTGCAAAACCAATGGCATATCACTTTCCATCATAAGGACATTCTAACTAACAGTGCACCGATCAAAACTACTTTTTTTTCTTCAAAGGGACTTCCTTCTCGACCTCTCTCCCCACTATCCCTATTTTACCTGTGAACATAACAAGTTTTAAAATCTGTACTGATACAATATGCAAATGCCTGTTAACATTAGGATCAAGATATCAATGGAATTACAATTAATGAAGTCTGAGGGATGAGTTCTCAGTTACATGCAGACACTGAGAACACAGAAGAAAAGGTATAATCAGTGACATTTAAAATGTTGAAACAATCTGTTTACTTGATGAAGAACACTGACAAGACTATCTGAGACAAAAAAGAAAAAACGATACCAACCACAACATTACATTTTCCAAAAAGACAACAAAGGTATCCAAAACAAAATAATTTCATTTTGAAGGTATATTATCACGTGTTATATGTAGCAACCCGTGAATGCCGTAAAAGGCGACTATGCTTGTCGTAAGAGGCGACTAACGGGATCAGGTGGTCAGACTTGCTGACTTGTATTAGTTGATACATGTAATCGTATCCCAATTGCGTGGATCGATTCTCATGGTGTCAATCATTGGATTGTCTGGTCCAGACTCGATAATCTACAGACCGCCGTCATATAGCTGGAATATTGCTGATTGCATCAATCAATCTTTTAACATCAAAGAAACGGTGTTACAGAATTTCAACACTTAATTATCCTATTATTATAGCGTTATGAAATCGTATAAAAGTAGGGTCAAGTGTGCAGTATTCGCGCGAGTAGACAGAGTCCTCAAACGCAATGAAGCCACCTTGAAGAACTGAAATCATACAGATCAATCTTCCATTGGCACGTAAACATGCTTTAACTTGACGCCGACATGTACTAGCGGGAGTCACGTTATTCGTTTGGTCAAGTACCATTTTTGATAGTGAGTCTAGATACTTCAAGTACCTTATATTTCGGGGAAGTTTAGAATTTCCTTGCCCAGTCAAAGTGACTGAGTCTTTGTTCTATAAGTCTAGTTTGAAATTAAGACCATTTCCGTCTGTTTTATTGTCCAAGAGACTTATTTAAGGGATACGCCCCTCTGTGTTTTTCCCGCCATTTAACCCAGCCGAGATTATTCACTCAGCCGAGTTAATTAACTGTGGTGTGAATTGGTCGCAGCTGTCTTTTGGCTGTCTATGCATCTTATCATTATCTTGTCAAAGTGGTGTTTTAGCTACTATCATTTTACTATTGTCATACAATTGCCTAGCTAATCAGCTAAAGGTTTGATAACTAGGCTCTTTGTTACATTTGCCTCACTCTGAGAGTGCGGGTTCGAATTCCGGATGGGAATCAACCCCAAAAGTACTAGACAGAATCTGTACTTTACAAAGAACATGTTATCCCAAATATTCCTAAATGGCATTCCTTAATGTATCTATTTATTGTTAAATGTGACAATGTGTATCTCAGTTATCTCCCTTTTTCTCTTGTATTGAATCTGTGGTACCACTGTGATATGAGCTGTACTGTGATGTTCATCTATTTCATAATACTAATTTATGTTCAAAGGGTATTATTATTATTCTATTTAATGAACGGATTCACATCCCACAGCAAGCCATGTTTTCTTGGGAATCTCGGTATTGTCAGCTATTATTTCATGTGAATCCTGAGAAATCACATTGAACATGCATCATTATCACGGTAAATAGACAGCAACATGTTCGCCTAAAGTCTGAGCAATATGCAGTAATTCAATGCACCTACTGTCATAGGTTTTCTTTTTTGAACGGAGTCCTTTCTTTTCTCCCCCCCCAAATGTAGAGCCAGTTGAGGATACGGATGTGTCGGAATGATAACGGGCATCACCTGTAAGAATAACCATCCACAATATGAATATGTGATTATACACAACTTTTTTAACTAAGTGTGATCACTTGTACTACTATTTCCCTTCTTTTGATATGTCATAGGCATACTTAAAAATAGTAATAAGCGTTCCTCCATATACATTTATGTTTGAAGTCTGACTTCGTTGGACATTGATTATGCTCTGGTTTACCTGGCCAATATTTGATTATGAATAGCCCGCCATATAGCTGGAACGTCTCATTTACCCGATTGTGGTGTTAAACAACATGCACTCACACACCGATTATAAAAAAGAAAGTTTTAAATACTTCTCAACCAAGGTTTAGAAGCTTCAGAAACTGCAGTTCTTGTGCTTGATTCATGAAGTCGAGCGTCCATAGGTTTTGGCACTGGTAGCATGTCCTCGTCTTCTTGACATCGACCTAGAAGATTCAGGTATATTTTGAAAAGGCAAATAAATATGTAGCTCATATAGCACTGGCAGTGACGTTTTCACGTTGTATTTTGTTTTATTTAATAAGGCAATAAAACGCGTTACAAAAACAGTTTTGTGGGTAACAGTATTAATCATGATATTCTCTTTGCCCGTTCTTTGTCTTGGCCAGGTTGATGAATATGCATAGCACATACTTTTCCTGTCGGTGGGAATCTCAGTAAAATATTGATTAGCTGATTGAATCATCTGCGTCAATGAGATTGTACCTCGTTGTTTCTTATGGCTTTCATTGCATTTTGAGAGACTGTGTGACCCTAAATGCATGAGACGAAGTGATTGATGAGTGTACCCAACGCACATTTGTTACATTTGTCTCACTCTGAGAGCGTAGGTTCCAATTCCAGATGGGAATCAACCCCCAAAAGTGCTAGAAAGAGTCTGTACTTTACAAAGAACATGTTATCCCAAATATAACATTTGTTCCTTAATGGCATTGTGTATTCCCATAAAATTGCAGGAACATTAAACAGGCGGATATCAAAGTCACAGTTAGAGCTGTTGCTCAGAAAACTGAACTGCTGCGTACTGGGTGACCATTGGTTCTATGAAAACCGGATGAGTAATCCCCCTGCGGTTAAAGAGCAGCATGTTAATATTAAAGAATTGGTAACTTGTTTCTAGCAGTGCAAAGATGGGAGCCAAAACTTGGTGGGCGCCACGTCTAAGCTTATAGGGACAATACCGTTGCAATGTATTGCATCAGCAGGGGGCACTTCCTCATTTGGAAACTGTTTTTGGTTAGCCGCTGTACACGGTTATAAACTTACAGCAAGACACATTCCAGGTGTTAGAGATGTGGTCAGTGACAGGTTTCTAGTTCGACACAGCGGGGTGTGGCTTGACAACTAAACCAAATATTCGTTATTACACCATATCACAGTTAAATCATTGGTGTTCCTACAGGACAAGTGTCAGCAGACCTTAAACAATTAGATTCTGAGCTTATAATTGACAAACAATCCGCCTATGCAGCGAGACACGTCAAAAATAAGACCTAACCACACCGTTCAATATGGCTTTTGGGGCTGGCTGTGTAGTGGGCTATTTACAGTTTCACTTTCACTGTAAATTCGAGCCTCAGTCGTAGCCGCTAAGCTAAAAGTAAGAAATATCAATCGAGGCTAGTTTATTGCAACCGTGTTTAGGGGTTGCAGGTTTTAACATTGTTTTGTCTTTTCTTGATAATAGTTATACTGCTTAACATAATTACAGTTGATTTCCATTGCATTCAGGTAATATTTGATTATGAATAGGCGCCGTGATGTCTCATTTAACCGACTGCAACTCTGCATAGCGAAGTATGGTACGTCAGACGACTGGGCCACCGTGCACCCTTGATTTGAGAAATGGATCTTGCATCTGAAATAAGTATGCATCTCCCTTTTCTCTTGATTTGAATCTGTGGTACCACTGTGATATGACCTACACTGTGATGTTTATATATTTCACAATTATAATATAAGTTTACCGGGTATTTTTCGTAGAGACGACGGAATCCATTTGTGTTAAAGACGGATGAGCTAATTTTTTAATAAGAAATATCAAAAATGTGAATTACATTCTCAGGTGGAGAATATATCTAGTGTTTATGAATCCCTACTGTATGCCAAGTATCAATGTGTAAGTTAAGTAACCAAAAGGGAGAATTGTTTGTCATTAATGTATTTATTTATTGTTAAATGTGACAATGTGTATCTCAGTTATCTCCTTTTTCTCTTGTATTGGATCTGTGGTACCACTGTGATATGAGCTGTACTGTGATGTTCATCTATTTCATAATACTAATTTATGTTCAAAGGGTATTATTATTATTCTATTATTATTCTATTTAATGAACGGATTCACATCCCACAGCAAGCCATGTTTTCTTGGGAATCTCGGTTTTGTCAGCTATTATTTCATGTGAATCCTGAGAAATCACATTGAACATGCATCATTATCACGCTAAATAGACAGCAACATGTTTGTCTAAAGTCTGAGCACTATGCAGTAATTCAATGGACCTACTGTCATAGGTTTTCCTTTTTGAACGGAGTCCTTCCTTTTCTCCCCCCCCAAATGTCAAGCTAGTTGGGTATACGGATGTGTCGGAATGATAACGGGCATCACCTGTAAGAATAACCAACCACAATATGAATATGTGATTATACACAACTTTTTTAACTAAGTGTGATCATTTATACTACTATTTCCCTTCTTTTGATATGTCATAGGCATACTTAAAAATAGTAATAAGCGTTCCTCCATATACATTTATGTTTGAAGTCTGATTTCGTTGGACATTGATCGTGCTCTGGTTTACCTGGCCAATATTTGATTATGAATAGCCCGCCATATAGCTGGAACGTCTCATTTATCCGATTGTGGTATTAAACAACATGCACTCACACACCGATTATAAAAATGAAAGTTTTAAATACTTCTCAACCAAGGTTTAGAAGCTTCAGAAACTGCAGTTCTTGTGCTTGATTCGTGAAGTCGAGCGTCCATAGGTTTTGGCACTGGTAGCATGTCCTCGTCTTCTTGACATCGACCTAGAAGATTCAGGTATATTTTGAAAAGGCAAATAAATATGTAGCTCATATAGCACTGGCAGTGACGTTTTCACGTTGTATTTTGTTTTATTTAATAAGGCAATAAAACGCGTTACAAAAACAGTTTTGTGGGTAACAGTATTAATCATGATATTCTCTTTGCCCGTTCTTTGTCTTGGCCAGGTTGATGAATATGCATAGCACATACATTTCCTGTCAGTGGGAATCTCAGTAAAATATTGATTAGCTGATTGAATCATTTGCGTCAATGAGATTGTACTTCGTTGTTTCTTATGGCTTTCGTTGCATTTTGAGAGACTGTGTGACCCTAAATGCATTAGACGAAGTGATTGATGAGTGATGACATGTGTATTCAACCGATTTCAGTTATTCTGTTGATAAACTTGCTATCCTATTTACATGTCTTCATGTCAATAACACAGCTCAGCTTACATACAGGCTTTATTCTTATGAGCTCTGCGACACGGGACTGCTTTAAATGGTTTGTTGGAATATTTGCTCCACCTCCAATGGTGTTTTTCTTAATGTCTACCTTAAAAGTCTATTTACATTGGAGATTCTTCAAAGATTATGGGAAGGGTTTATTTAATGACTTCTCTCGTGTTTTACTGTAACACAGACTGTAATGAGAACTAACTGATATTCCACAGACATGTTTTACAGATCATATAATGATATTTAGTAAGAGGTTAATTTACATTGTTTTTGACACACACAACATACCTAAGAATATAACTGGTTGCAGTCAAGTTCATGTTATCGGACAACCGGAATATTAACACTGACAGTAAACAAGTTATCTGGAAACATATATATCTAATTAAAAACCCGTGACATGTATTTTTGCAATATAAACCTAACTTTACTTTAAACACGGATCTGATGAACTTGTGAAAACAGTTTGGTAAAATGGTTACTGAGGAGACGAGATTGGCGACTTTTCAAACCAACATGACATATACGTAAACCGATCTGGGGTTGTATCCTTCATTAAATGTAACCATATTAAATCAACAGGTTTACCTGTATCATTTCTGTCAGACTTCGGGATGATCTTCAGAAATGAAGTAAGAACACGTAAAGCTGTCTTTTCATCCATCTTCATATTGTTTGGAATAGCAAAGTCTTTAGCAGATGTTTCTAATTCTGAGATCCTGCTCAAAAAACTTTGGTCCATGCTCATGTCAATTACACCATTTATGACTGATAGATTTTCGAACAAATCATTGTTGATGTAAACCATGACAGCTTTTGCTACATTTGAATTGTATTGGGAAGCAGCATGTGTAGCTTGTGTTGTGAAGGTAAGCACCATGACCGGTTTTGATGGATAGAAAACGCAAATGTCACACATGACATTTCTTGGTACTGACTTCGAGCAGCTTATATCAAGTAACACAGACATTGTCCTGCAAACAAATACATGGCTTGCATTTTGGCCACCGAGAAGTAGAATCCTTTTGTACACGTCGTTATAAGAGTCACACAAAATATGCCTTGCTTCACTTGGAAATATGAAGATCTCTGTAATAACAACATAATTTGGTAAGAATGAGTAAGTTATAAGTTAACATTGCATCAACTTGGTTTGTATTCAACTTTCAATTGTCCATAGCAATATTCCAGCAGCTCCAGAGTTCCAACTCGAACTTAAAGAGCGTCATACGACTCTCATACGACGAATTGTTTGATCAAGTCTACAACATTTAAGTCCTCAGCAAATCTTTCAAATAGTTTTATGAAAGACACGTGGAAGCCATTTCCAAATTTGACGAATCCCCCGCCATGAGTGACAGAGATGGGTTTAACACCGCTTTGAACAATATTTTATATACATCAGGTGATGTCAGATGAATGTGGGAGGAAAGCCCGAAGTGATGCAGGTCTTAGACGTTTACTACTTTGATGAAACCCACGAACACGTGTATGGTGCTGACAAACCTTGAAACATAATCGGGGCGAACCGAGATTCGAACCCACGATCATAGGTTTCTGGGATGCTCAAGGCACGCAATCCCTAGACGACTGTGGCAACTTTGTCCCCTGCGCCGCCATTGGGCACATTAGAATTTTGATTGTTCATATAGTATTGAATAATATGGAAATTAATGTTAACTATAAACAAAGCGCACCATAAAGACTTAAGACCCGTGAAGATCCTGGGTAGAATAGATCTCCAGCAACCCATGCTTGCCGTAAAAGGCGACTTTGCTTGTCGTAAAAGGCGACTAACGGGATCGGGTGGTCAGGCTCGCTGACTTGGTTGATGCGTGTCATCGATACCCAATTGTGTGGATCGATGCTCATGATATTAATCACTGGATTGTCTGGTCCAGACTCGATCATTTACAGACCGCCGTCATATAGCTGGAATATTGCTGAGTGCGGCGTTCAACAACAAACACACCAAACCATAAAGACTTAAGAAGAGATAGGCACTCTGTTGGCCTTATGTAACGAGAAAATCTTCTTAAATCTAACATAATCTGAAATTAATACACACCAAAGACCCTCTTCTCTGGTACCAGTTTTATTCAGTATAGATTCCCTTCGAGAAGCATGCAAAGTTACATGAATGTAATTTCAGTAGTTTCCGAGAAAACTTATCACCATTTGAGACACTATGCACTGAATTAACATACATCTAGGGCAGTAACTGTGTAAAATATAATTTACGGCACCAATTTTCACTCAGTTATTACAAACTTGCAAAGTTTCATTCATGTAACGTCAATAGCTTGTCCCCATTTCAGACACGATGCACTATGTAAATTAAAACAGATCAAGGGCCGTAACTGTGTCAAAAATAATTTATGGCACCAATTTTTGAAGTCTTGATAAGAACATCTTTGATAAGCATGAACGTTTCATTCAAGTAACTTCATGAGTTTTTGAGAAACCTTGTCCACATTTCACGCAGTATGCACTAAGTTGAAAAGCATTGAGCAAGGACTATCACTCTATAAAAATGAATTTAAGACGTCAATTTTCGAACTCATTTGACATCGTGACAACTAACATCAGTGTGTGAAATATCATTTCTCTAACTTACTATTATGGAATGACGGACGGACGGAGAGACGAACTCCGTTCCTATATCCCCCGCCCCACTTTTTGATTTCTGATGCACTTCCGTATTTTCACTTGTATCACATGTTCCTGTGTTTTTTCAGATGAACAACTGACTTGCCTTTGCATGTGTTTGCGACGATCGCCCTATTATAGGCAGGATAAGCTCACCTGTTCGCGAACACCTGGTATCATCCATACTTGATAGTGATTCAAAAACACGTTCTTATTTACGAAATGATGCATCGTAAACAATATTGCAAGATGTGACCTACAGATCTCTTTCTCAGTGCACTTATTATTGTCGCATGTCTTTTATTTAGAACTAAGATACTTACCAGCCTTACGACGGACAAACGAGATGACATCTTGACGTTCTTCTCTTGTCAGGGAGGGTGGTGGTAATTTCGAAAATTGTTCTGAAACATATTATTCCAGCTAAGAATTATATTTTGACATAAATAATAGATTTAATAAGTTGTCAAATGTTATTCTTATGATATATTTACATGCTGGTTTACTAACATTAGGAGCATGGTGTAACAATAGAACATGAAAACCTGTGGTTCCTTTGCCAGCTGAGGTATCCTCATCGTCATCCTTCGAAGAGTGGTTATCGGTCTTTGCGAAAATACACTGCACTTCTTCGTCTTCTGAGTGAAAGGTACTTGAAACATCGCTCTCGTCTCCAGTCGTTGACATTGTGCTGGTGACCTCCAACCTATACTTCTGTGACAAAGACGAAAATGTTTCACTGTTACATTAGTGAGATCCTTAATTCTTTCTTTGACAAATTAGGCATTGTGAAAGTAGTTTCTCTAGCCATTTGTCAGTGCCTATTCGCGTACATGTACTGTTGTCACTGCATATTTGATACAACCTGGGCCCAGAATCAAAGAACACAATTCCTTCAAAGTACCGAATAGATATTTCCAAAACATATAGTGACGTTTGTGGATCCGTGTGGAAAGTTGTCTTGATGAGATTTGTTGGTGGTTTGTCAATTTTACCATTTAGGTAAAGGGCTGACAATTTTGAAACAATCTTTCCTTTAATTGTCTTCTCAAAAGCTTGTTTGTTGATTTGGATTTTGTATAGAGTATCGTCTATCTGTATTACTCTGTTTGTCCTGCCTTCTGGAATCTCCTCCAACTGAAATCCAGATATCACTGCAACTTTCGACTCTGTACGTTCATCAGGTTTTTCAGATATTCCAACATAATAAGATCCTCCGTTGGGCACTTTAGACAGGGAGGTGATATTGTCTTTTAACTTCAGATCCTTCCAAATGTATTTAAGTAAATCAAATTTGCCCTGTTCGATTTCAGGTAAATATTTATCTGGATGAAATGATTTGAACTCTCTGTTTCTACATTCGTGTCGTTCTACGATTTCATCAGGTAAACCTCGCACTTCTGGCTCAGTCACAATGTTGTTTTGCTTGTTTGTCAAAATTGATAAAATGTTCAGAATTGATGGATCCAAGTTTGCAAAGTCAAATCTTATTTTTGTATTGAATGAAACAGTTGCTAATTGTTTATGGTCCTGGTTCACTGTGATGACCACAAAATCATCGTATCTTTCAAAGTCTGTTTTCACGCTCAGCCATTTACGTGCGAAGGCATTAACGTACAGTGTACCATGAGATAACAAGTCATTAAGGGGTCTGCTGATGAACTCATCAAAGTTTTGCAAACATCTATCTTCTGGTTGCTGTCCATTTAGATGTACAAGTATTGATCCACCATTAGTGTTTCTTAGTGCAGACGCTCTTGTGCGAATTTCATTTAAAGTATCTCGCTTTGCATTAGAGTTCTTCCTTTTTATCACTGATTCTTCAGCATGAACGATGAAAACATTTGGGTCAATCGTTACTCCACGCGTGTAATCCCTTTCGACCTCATCGCATTTCCCACACCTTGCTGCAATATAAATAGAGAAAAGAATCATCATCTTCTCATATTGTATTCATCGACGAATTAATTGTCTTTAAATTGATGATTGTAAGATACATGCATCAGATTGTATGTGTTTGTTAAACACAAAAGGAAAATTTATATTGCAGTCATCTGAGGCACTGTTCTTAGCTGTGCAGACTTGCATCTCTTAGTCCTGTTAGGATCAACTACTCGTGAGTTCAGTCTATCGCCCTGTTTATCACCATTGGTTTGTCAGCACCATAACTATGCTCTCGGGTTTCACCAAAGTAAATGTCTTTGTCACTTTGGGTTCTCCTCCCCCATTAATGAGCCACACTCTGACATAAATAGTGCATTAGAACTGTATGTCTTCTGAATATGAAGTCAATAGTTTTATATGTCAAGTAAAAGTAATCTCAGGATTAATATTTCCTGTTAAAATCTAACTCTGAGCACTTTCATGTGATAGCGTTGTCCTTTGACCTTCAAATTTTATTATCGAAACTTAAGATTTTGAAAAAAAAATCTATGCTGGCTATACAATGAAATTAAGGCATAGTTCTGCTCTGTAGTTCACACGGTGTTATCTGGTATATGTGGAACATAAGGTTTAGGGTTCACCTTCTTATTTAAAACTTGACGATGTGTAAAATAACCCAATAACTACCCATGGCGAGGAATAACGGATTATCTGTCCCTCTAGTGAGTGAGTGAGTGAGTATGGTTTTACGCCGCTTTTAGCAATATTCCAGCAATATCACGGCGGGGGACACCAGAAATGGGCTTCACACATTGTACCCATGTCAGGAATCGAACCCGGGTCTTCGGCGTGACGAGCGAACGCTTTAACCACTAGGCTACCCGACCGCCCCTTCTGTCCCTCTAGAAATTAACGTTGTTATTTTCACTCGGGACAGATAATCCGTCTCGTCACTCGTAAATTATTGTGTATGACAATAATTTTAAAGTGCGCTTTTCAAGATCTAGATATGCCCATTTTCTCAGCGATAAACATCATCATTGAGTTTTGATCACGTGGTTACAATCTGGGTTGTAATCGACAGTCAGGTGAATGCAAAGTTATATTTTAACGGCGTGTGAAGCGTACGTACATTACCAGCACTAACTGAAAGCAACATACGTGCAGATGTAGTATTTAAAGCGCTACTGGCCTAGGTCGGTTTTAAATTTAACCGCTCGCAGTCACCCGACTGTCGATTATTACCCAGATTGTAACCACGGGATCAAAACTCAATGATGATGTTTATCGCTAAGAAAACTGACATTTCTTGAAAAGCGCACTTTGCCATTTTTATTACTGTTAGTAATATTCCCTATTGGCGGAATGGTTTGTTTTCACGTTATGGGTATTAGCACACAGACAGCTATCTTCGTTAATTAATCATAGCAATATTGACAGACTGAATGATCTGCTTCACGACTGACACAATGGAGAATTTATGTTGCGTATTTTCTACATATATCGCGTCAAATACGCAGGTTTTCTACGTCATGGAAAACCTGCTGCCTCAAAAAGTCTGTTCCAACACGTGCGACGTGTGGTCGGGCATTTTCTTGCTGCATAATGACGATACGTTCTTGCATTTGCGAGTATGAGGGCTGGTCAGAAAGTTCTAAGCCTAACAAACAAAACCAACAATTAGGAAAGTGTTTTTAATTATAATTTACAACATAATCTCCCTGCTTTTCAATTCACTTCTCATATTGACAGTGAACCCTTTCAATTCCAGTCAGAAAGAAGTTTTTTATCTGATCATGAAGACTTGAATTTCTTTGCTGCCAGAGAAGTGGAATGGCGTCATTCCATGGATTGACGTTTTAACCTCGGGATAGACCCATGTATCAATACCCGTTACCCATCTCTTTTTGAATTTGAAGAAATCCTCCTCAATAATTAGCTCTAACTTTTCACTGGAAATGTCAGTTCTTTTTTTCCGTATGATCAGAATTCAGAAACTTTGACACCCAACGAACACATATCTTATTCATCTGTAAATGTTCATGAATAACAGTTTCAATGGATCCATAGCCTTGACCTGTGTCCTCCTCAAGTTCAGCAATGGTAATACGTCTATCTGACAGTATAAAGTTTTCTGATTGAATCTTCATTGATGGAAGCTGATGGACGTCCAGACCTAGGGTCATCATCAAGGCTTGTTCTCCCAGCCTTAAACATAGCTGCCGAATGTTAAACACTGGAATAGCTAGGGCACCAATACACCCCATACACTCGTGACATGCGGTCATGAATTTCTTTGGGAGTACTTTTCTCGTTCTGTTCCATTTGGCCCCTATCATGGTTCAATGGTTGTCACTAGTATACAAACGGCCACAACAGACTAGATACACTTGCAATGAAATACTCAAACAATGTACTACATTCACTAGTTCACTTTGTCATGGCCCATAGTCGAAATGAGTCAGGTTTAGAACTTTTTGACCAGCCCTTGTAGAACATGATCCAGAACGATATCTTCGCGATTTCAAATTACCATGAACATTGATGAGTTGAGTTTCTCTCAGGAGTCGTGACGCCACCCAATACCATTACACTTCCCATCCCAAACTAACGACGTTGCGTTGTGTTGTCTACACAATGCTAGGTGTTGCGTACGGTTCTGACACTATTTACCCAAGAACTGTCTGCACTGTTAATGTGGAAGTTTGGTATTGATTCCGTAGATGCAACAACCGTATATGGTTGTTTTGTTGACGTTGAAGACCGGCCCGTTTCAAGTCATGTAGATAAAGTCTCCAAAGAAATAACATTGAGTATTGATGAACATTAAAATGTCTGGCAACTTCGGTTTGCGCCATTCCTGTTTGCAGCATACCCACAGCGTTACACATTAGTGTTCAGCAAGTTGTGGCACATAAGGAAGGGAATATATGATGTCAATTTCTTTATTATAAGGAACACAACGTTTCGAAGTATATGCCTACTCCTTCATCATGTGAACTACCAACTATTCACCCGATGAAGGAGTAAGCATATACTCCGAAACGTTGTGTTCCTCATGATAAAGAGGTTGACATCAATATATTCTCTTTACTATGTGCATCACTTCTAAATGCCTTTCAAAGACCTGGAGTTGTTGCATAGTTTAAGCGTTATTTACGGTTAAACTAAAGTGTTTTAATGAGCACCTCATAGCTAAACAATAATTGCATTCTGTTCACTTTATAAATACATGTGTGTGAGTATCATGCTCCCAAGAAATACGAAAACATCCAAGTTATGCGCCATGAACATGCATGTGAAAATTGTGAGTGAGTGAGTATGGTTTTACCCCGCTTTTAGGAATATTCTATTAGCAATATCACAGTGGAGGACACCAGAAATAGGCTTCACACATAATACCCATGTGGGTAATCGAACCCGGATCTTATCTCAGCCATATGTAAATAATCAAGTCTGGACCAGACAATCCAGTGACTGATTATGAGAACAACGAAAGTGGAATATTGCTTGGGGTGGCAACAACAAACAAACCTAATCTCGTCGATCGATGCTCATGATGTCAATCACTGGATGATGATGTCCATGTGTTACTTGGTAGTTAATTAGTTTATCATTTTGTATTTTATCCCAATCCATACACATAAGTATTTTACTTTGTCAGCTAGTAGAAATACGTCGCCGGATATATTAAACGCTAGTGTATTTAATATTCCACAATGTATCTCTATTTCCTTTTACGTACGCTTCTTCTCTCACTCTTACTCCTGGTTGTCTCATAGCAGTATCACGTGCGCATAGTTGGGGTGTGACGTGGACACTTTCAAATGTTACTTTTTGTCACGCCACAGACACATAATAACTCGTTTCATACTGACGGCCCGTTCACCTCGGCAAACGTTTGTACACGAGGATAGAAATTTGGTCAGTGCCTTGCTTTAAAAGGGATTTCCTCAAGGTTATAAATAACTTACGAATAAAGTCTATCAAGGTTTCGTTCACTTCTCTCTGTTTTGATGCTTCAGCGCATTGAAATGTTGAGGACGACATATCTCAAAGGAGGAGACTGAACATAAATTAATATTGATACTTTCTATATCTTTTACAGATAACAAATCCTTTTAACACCATCATCACCGCCTCAGTCCATTCAATAACATCGTCGATAAAATGGCGCCCGAACAGAGACTGGGGTAGAGCCAGAACATCCTAGACAACGTCTTCACACCATCAACATCATCACGATCGATTTCATCTACATCGAAGACATCATCGACAAATATCACAATCTACCATTTGCCATGTTTCTTTAATCATTATTTTTGGAGACAAAACCATAACACATTTGTGTCCCTAGAAGAGGAGTCATCATGGAGATGTGTTGCTCCATCTGACTCTGTCATTTCATACAGTATTCTTCAGTCTACCATGTTCGTAATATATTTTGAAATATGTTAGTTTATCATATAATAGAAATGTATTGAAGCAGCATATATCAGCGTATATATGTCTTTAGCAGTGTAGCTGTTTATTATTCAGGTAAAGTAAAATAGCATTTATGTGAAAGCTTTGATAGTGTAATACACTGCTGCTTCTTCAGTGATGACAAAAAAGTTCTTGATAGTTTACAATTGCTGTTAAAAGGAATTTCAAATGGAGAAAACATACATACCCATAGCACTCAGCACTCAAAGACTCTGCATCCTGAATGAAATCATGCATAATTGCAGTTGTGGTTGTGGTCTATAGGTCTCTGTTCATTCCATGTGGTGTCTAAACTGAAACTGAACAGAAACAAATTCTAAGGAAAAGTGGAAGAAAAAATATGTCTCTGTTTGCTGAATTTGAATTTTGAAGGGAAACCCAAAGATAAATTTCAAAGGCGGAGAATGAGTAAACAATCAAGCAATATAAGTCAACAGATTTGTTTTGATGACAAATAAATTATATATTAACATGAATTCATAAGGTATAAGTGAGTGAGTGAGTTGGTTTAACGATGAACAGTATTTTACTTATACCACGGCGTGTACGCTTTACGTGGAAGGAAGGCAGAAATGATGCATGCCTTTGATGTTTACCACTTTGATAAAACCCACCATGGTGCAGACAAACAAAGCAAGAAAGTCAGGGTAATGCTAACAAATGATCATAGGTGACCTAAGGGGTTCGAAATGAGTGATGGTGAATGACTGGGACACCCGTGCCACCCTTAATTTATGAGTAAATGTTTTAGGATAATACAAGAAAAATTATCAAATAACTGACTTGCAAGTATATCTGTGTCTTAGTATTTGTACAGTTCACAGCTCACAATTTCATGCCTTCAAAAAGCTATTAAGCGTCACAAGATAGTAGTAAGATGCTACAACCAATCTATATGTCAGCCAATGAAAACATTTGTCATGCACCCATGTGCCAGTAGCTGTTGTTGACCCCCCGCATAGTTTTGTTTTTGAATCCAATTATGGAGCGTTTCTTTTCAACACCTTAACTGGGATATTTAAAGACTACAACCATTCAGCGATATCTAAACTGTAATACTCACATATATAGCCCTTTGTTCAGTAATTAGGGCTGTAAACATGATAAAACGAGAGTATATCATTATCCTTGAAAGCTACATTAGATAATCCTTTTGTATGATCGAACAAGTAATGAAATAACTAGTTTGACTCTGGGATTTTGTGTAAGATCCGAAGCCCAAATAACAGTACTTCTTTAGACACATTGTGTTCCTGGATAGCTTTAATATATGTCCCCAGTGTGGGTTTGAATCCCTCCAACTGCAGATGTGTTTTCTCCTTCATCCGGAATTAATGCTTTGCACATGTTTAACATAATGAACAATTGTGATGAAATGTATATGGGTTATAAAGGTTTCATAGTGATTAAGCATATGATATATGGATGAACAACTTCTTTAGTGAGTGAGTGAGTTAATATTTAAAGTCACATCGGCAGTATTTCAGCCATATCGTGGCTTGAACAAGTTATGCATTTATATTATATATTAAAGCTGTCATCGAAGGACAGTACAACAACCACCAATATATCACAGATTATAGTTTTAAAACTAGTTTTAGAACAATAAAATATTCAGATACAATACAGACGATACAATATAAAAACGGGCTGTAGATCGCCAGCAACAACAACATCTTTATTACAATTAGGAGCGACGTTTCGGTGTAGGTTCTAACACCGTTATCAAGCAAGTAAAAAAAGATATCATAGTGTCTGATCCGTGATTTAATGTACATGATCGTTATTCTATGAGATACAACTATTACAACAATTCTTTCTCATTAATAATCAGTCATTTTTGATGCAATACTGAAATAATTTAGAAACTTCTTTCACTGCACAGTCGTACCACAGAGGACGTATGCTGCTTTCTTTCAAAATACATATCACATGAAATTAGAAGGAGATCAAAATCATATACATTATCAATGCCTAGTCATGACTATACTAACATCATGACCTTTGCGCAAACACCTGGTGTCATCAATGATTGTCAGTGGTCCATTCATTTAATTTCAACAGCTATTTACCTTTTATGCCAAGTGGAATCTGTTTCGGCAGAAAATCTAGGATGGTTATTCATTTGCATGGACAATGTATATTTATATCTAGTTGGAATTTGTTGTAAGTATTATGACACTGACATTGACAACTTCCTTCCTTATCAGCAGTGTGTGCTATTGAACAAGAATGATCCATGAACAAAACGTCGGACAAGAAGCAGCCCTTCCATTATTTAAGTGTTTAAAAATTCACACACATGGTAAAAATAATATTCACAGTACATGTCATCATATTAATGTAATAAAACTAGTAGTATAGGGAATGGGGGTTCTGGACCACGTCCATTGGAGCCAGATTTATTTACCTATACTGCTTCTACAGAGGGATTTTTTTAATGTAAAAATGATGATGCACACAAATAATTGTCATGAGACTAAGCTAAATTGTAATGAAAAGGGCTCTAGCTCACCACTACCTGAACCATTTTCGAACCCTATCAATGCTTCTATGATATAGATTTTGATAGGTAATGGTGATTCTCCATTATTAAATTCTTATGTAAGCATTCATTTAAATTATTGTATTTTATGTGTTGTGATCAAACGATATGAAACAATCGATTTTTAATCTCCAACCAGTTCTTTGGTTTTGGCACGGAATAACGGACGAGCTTGTTGTCTCCCCTGTTCTATGAACTATGATCGAATCTCCTTCTTCATTGCGTTGTATTATAGTTCGGACAGCACTAAACGAAACTCCTCGGATATCTCACAATCAGCCAGTGCTGTTGAAATTTTGCTTCGGCGAGTATCCTAATATTATCCTGTTTTAATGCTTTCTTTTGCAACTTATGAGAAATATATTTTATCGCTATTCCAGCCAGTCCTGAGACACTGGCGGCTATTTCCATACCAAGTACGATAGGCGTAACAATTATAGTTGATAATAAACCAACACTGGCTACATCCATGCAAGGTGTTACAAGCGCAGTGTCAAATCCGTCGAGAGCATTCACAGCTCTGCGATACTTTTTATACAATCCAAGTCTCAACTCCCTCTCCTTCTCTATTCGATGTTTTATGTGGCTTATTTGATGTAAACGAAATCCATCAACAGTATCCATCTTTTCAGATGCTTCATCGAGCACCAGATAAAAACCCATAATGTATATTATTATATCATATAATAGTCAGTAACCAAATTTAAACTAACATTTTTTATTGCTGGACGACTCAATGACATATGACCTGGGTTTTATGTTTTATGTTATGTTTTTTGTCGAAGGTTATGTGATCCAGGGCCTGATGAATCAACCATTATTTATGATATGGAGTGTTACACTCAAGTATCTTATATGTACATCTTTATGTTTTACATGTAATACAGAAATTTTGAAGTCTGAAATAATACCCCATTTTAACTTTTTATATTGTAATGTTGAGAAAGATTCCGTTCTACCACTATTATATTTTTCATCTTTGACTGGAATAGCTCTTAGCAGAGTTGAAGGACTTTCAATTTGAATATTATCCGTAGTACTTATCTGATCAAGATGGATGCAGAACTCTAAATCGGGTAATTTAACTCCAGGCCATGTTTCGTTGGGTGACATTAATATTCCTCCTACTCCTCTTACAAATCCAAGTGTAGCTGCTAAGCCCCATTCAAGAAGTACTTCCTCTTCTCCAGCTTTTAAAATCAGCATCCCATTTGACTCATTTTGTGTGAGACTAAATCCCAAAGGCTTACAAACGCCATCATTGAGCGAGCATACGATGTAATACCCATCGTCAGTCTGTAACTATAATTAATAACCCAAGTACCATTGATCAGGATTAAACACTTCTGGTTTGCTTTCCTAATCTCAGCGCACACAATGTGTTAGTTCCAGGAATTGCCTGACTTCTGCCGACGCTAGCAGAGATCTCGTTCAGAACATAGGTCGTGCGATTGTTAAGAAAATTGTGATTAAAATTAGTGGTAATGAAGTTTTGTGTATTGACGACAGTGATGTATACTCCTATTACATGGATCTCTGGAGAACGGCTAAAGAACAGAAAAACTTAAAGTACCAAGGTATTTGTAATCAGAACACATTGAGACTGCATGTGGGTGCTGATAGTAGTGATAATACAGTATAAGGAGATAAGGCTGTTCCTGATGCATTAGGTAACCGATTCTATATTCTGCTAGACTTTGAATTACTAGATAGTCACATCAAGCATCCCTAGGCGATAGGTTAGGATATGAACTCACTTTTAATGACTACAACAGAGTAATCAAAGCTACTGAAGATGTTACTAGCTATTCTATTGACAATACCTCACTGGAGTATGATATGATAACAGATCCTGAATTAGCCAGACAAAATCGTAACCAGTAAACAGGAAGTTAAGCCATTTTGTACGATCGCGTGCTTCGACACTGAAAGATCACCAGGAACAAAAGAGATACGACGTGGAATATCAATCTTAACGTCCCCGCAAGATCGTTGAAGGATATTCGTATTTTAATGTTGTTCGAGGACCCCTCTGAAGCATTTGCAAGAGATGCCGAGAAGTTTTACAACCCCATGATTACAAAAGAAGAATTGACTATCCAGCGTGTGCCTAATCAACTATATAGTCAAGGCATGCGAGCATATCAACAGTGGGATGAGATTAAAACACTCTCTTTTATAAAAAGAAGTTAACACGGACGTGAAAGATCTGTCTCTCAGGGATGTATCGATGACTGAATTCCTTACCCCGAAGTATGGGCTATGGCTCGACATGTGAACCACAGGCGATGACCAACTACACAGCAGTGGGCGGAGAATAGAAAATACTAGTGAGGGTATTACTGTACAGATAATGAAGCTCCAGGAAGTGGCTGATAAATTAAACTTATATTTGTATGTGTATATTTGTACGCAACTTAATATACAGAATGGAAGATTCATGCAAGCGATCTATTAATCATCTTTTACCTAAAGAACCGCACTGCACTTTCATCTGTTGGCAAACGGGTAGCGGAAAAACAGCTTTTATTATCGATATTTTACAAAGTCATTATCGGAATGTTTTCGACCATATTATTATTCTGTGCCCGACTATAAGCATTGATAAAACATACCTATCAAGAGATTGGGTAATGAATGATCCAGAGGTGTACAAAGTTGATCCGGGCGAGACTATTTACGAGTATGTTACGAAAAATGCAAAGGAAAATCAACCCTTTTCATAATAGACGACTGCAGTGAGAGTAAAGA